ATTTATGTGCTCAAGGGGAGCATAGCATGGGCCTGAGTAATTTTATGCAGTAAAGGTGTGACACATCAAGTCTGGTTAGACTAATCTCTGTTCCCTGATCACTGTCACATACCATGGGTCAGGATTACAAAAGATCCTACTCCAGTCTCATGGCAGGCATAAGTATCCACTGATTGCAGTGACTACTGTTAAAATATACACTGACACAACAGCTAAAATGCTGTTCACTCTATTGTACGTGCTGCTTGTACTCATTACTTAATTGGCAAATTGCTGCCCATGGTGCAATACCATTCAGGAAGCATGGCAAACCAAAAATGTGTGGTGGGTACCTCCTGCATAATCATTTTGTATTTAGCACTGGTACTTCTGGTAGTATAATGCTATATTTAAATAAATATCAGTGATTATATTAATAGAATAGTATTACAATATTTACAGGCCATTCCATTCAAATTACAAGGCTATTGAATTGTGCTTACCGACTGAGGCTTTATAAATTTTTGTTGAACTTCATTTAGAGGAAAAAAACCCATACTGACATTTTGCTTTTATCCAAAATCTGCAAAGTAGTACAAGTTAGGCTATAATTTGATGCAACCAGTCCATAAAATACCTTTTATTAATATGTTATACATAACTGCAGTGCTTTGTGAAACTGTTTGTGATGCTTTTCGCCATTGAAAAATGAGGGAAGGCAAGAGTGTATCTTCCTTCCTTCTGCACCTCTTCAAAGCACATGGAGAGTGGGTACTAGGGAGGCAGGGGAAGGTGAAGTTGCTGGGGTAGTGGACTGAACCACGGCACATCCCATCCCCTATTGTCTTTCCTGCTTTTGCCTTGCCTTTCCCGTCCCTGTTTCAGTGTGTTAGTGGGAGGGAGGAAGGTATTTGTAGTGTTTTTTTTAATGATTGTACGCTAATTAACTTTATAGAATACATTTTTTTTTCAAACTGCATTCCTTTGCCATGAATCTGAAATGCATAAAAGTAGATTTTAAAGTTTTTAACTTTTTCTTTCAGAGAAATGATAGAACATATTCTTTTAAGTTATGGAATGAAATATACTGATGAAGGTAAGTTATGGCACCAATGCATTTATTAAGAAAGGAAGGTTAATAATTAATAAATTATGTAACTAAAATAACAAAGTGTAGGAGAGTAGGGAGGCCAACACTGAGCTAAGAAATGTTTAGGCTGATTATCATGGAAAATTTCCATAACAGTGAGGTCTACTAAACTGTGGTATAGGGAAACTAGTGTCATTAGAGAAAAATCATGAATTAGCAGAGAGGTACCTGAGATAAGCTAGTAGATCTTTCCAATTCATAATTTCTGTGATTGAGTTTAAATGTGTTGCACAGCATTAAAGAACTTTTTTTCTGATGAATTTTGTTATCCGGGCATTTGAATTAACTTGTGTAGTAGGGCACAGTGGCTCTTAAAGGGCTACAGGCCCAACATGAGTGTTTCTGATTTCAGACCATAATGTGGGGTTGGAATGAGTGTTGGGAAAGGCAGAGCTATAGAAGGCACTCTACTTGCGTAAGCTGAGACCAGGGAAGTAGCAAGACCTGGTGTGGAGCTCTCCACTAAAGGTGTTGGGAATGGCGCTATAGCAGCAGTGACTGTTGGGATATCTCTAGACAAGGAGCATGGAAGGGGTTGGTTGGTTTGAGCCCAAGGAAGTGGCTTGGAAGTCTGTGAGAGGACCTGAATGCAAAAGGAGCTTGGGAAGGGAGAATGTGAAGCAGGTAAGCTTGAGACCCAGGGTTTGCACGTATTTTTTTTTTTTTTAATGGGCTTTGGACTAGGTCTTTCAGAGATGGGAGAAAGTGCACCTCGCCCTCTTTGCTACCCTGTATCAGGGGAGAAGACCAGGTGATACAGACCTTGGGGAAGTGAAAGGACTACTGAACTGTTTAGCTCAGAGAGTGCAAACAGCTGTTTGATATCAGACTTGCATAAACAAGAGTGAAAGAGATGGGGGTGGAGGGTAAAAGGACTGTTTCACCTGAGGAGGGTGCAGGTCTATTGATGTTAGTCCTGATCAACAGGGCTAAAAGCTGCGGCCAGGAGAGGACTAAGGATGCACTTGTTTCTGTTCTGACTCTTGTTTACCTCGGAAGGGAGGGGACTTTAGTTTAGCCAGAGGGTAAACTTAGGCACAAATTACCCTGCCAAGAGGGGGAGACTGCAGAACAGCGGGGAAACTTGGGGCACAGAAATGTCCTGATACCAATGCAGGTAAGAACCTGTAAGTGTAATTTTTTTTTCCCTTTGCAGATGAAGTTTATTTTGAAATGAATGCAGATAAAATATGCACAGCTACAGCACAAATGCTCTTGCAAAATGCAGTTAAATTCAATCTAGCTGAGTTTCAAGAAGTATGGCAACAAAGTGTCCCTGAAGGGCTGACGACAAGGCTGGATCAGCTCAAGGTAAAAACTAAACTAGTGGATTTGGTTTCATGTATTAGCAGGATGTTCTTACTGCTACATTGTGTAGGATTTGTATATGAATCATGAACAACCAGCTTATTTTTTATTTCAACAGTATTTGCCAGCAGCTGAGAGAAGCATCTTGGTCCTGTATTAAAGCATTTATGAGGTGTTTCCTGTAAAGTGAAACTGCCTAGGACCTCCGCAGTGTAGGAGCATGAGTGTGCTCTTCTAGCTGTCTCCCTAAACCTGATACACATAGCTATAGAGGAAAAATTTCAAATCTAGAGTCTATTACTATCAATATGGACAGAACTAGAAGTCCAACATACTGTAGAACAGCCTTTAATGATGCTAGCATGCTGCAACCAATATAAATTTTGTTGACTATGGTAGTGGGATATCAAGTTGTGTATGTTTACACGCTCCTCTCCCTTAAGGGATGTGAGAACTACCTCCTTCATGATGGGCCCCATTGTGAAGGCTTCCATTTTGCTTTTAGTATTGCTACTCCTTGTACAGTTTAGGGGTTAAAAATACTGAAATAAATGGCAATAGTAACACAAATTGATATGCCAAGAGATGGGAGGTTTGATCATGTTTTCTGTGTTAAAATTTGTGTCATCTTATTGTTGTCCCTATAGGGTTTGGCTCTGTTGGATAGACACTCAAGACCAGAGACTATCTTCTTGCTAAAAGTAGAAGAGTTGCCTGAGGATAACCAGGAAAGGTTCAACAGGCTATTTACCATTCGGGAAAAGTGGACAGCAGCAGATATTGCCCCATATATTCAGTAAGTAGTTCACTACTAAGCATAATACTGTTTTAAAGTACAGTAAGTACATAAAGATTTGTATAGTACTTGTAGTATATACTTGGTTGCATCATGGACCACTATAGCTGATAAAACCTTAAACTGCTAGATTTTTCTCCCAAATTCTACATGAGTAAAATATACTTACAGTATAGTCATTCAGAAGTATTATCTGTATTTCGTGAATGTGAATATTGAGGGTGAAATCCTGGGCCCCACTAAACTAAATGGAAGTTTTGTATTGACTTTGGACAATTCTACCCCCACTGAAGTCAAAGGATAAAAAGCAAAAAGTTAAACTGTCTTCCAGTAGACCTTTTTCTCCCTTTAGTAACACTTTGTGACCCATACACATGAGCTGTCTTGAAATCCAAAATCTTAACTGGAAGTTATATAACTCAACTTTTCTCTTGAAGATTATTAAGAGAGTGAATTCACACTGGGTGTTGAACCACACTCTGGAGAAAGGACAGCCAGGCTAGTGGAAGATGAAGGGATCAGAAGAGCATAGTCAGGAAATATTTAAAATGAGGGGAAATTGAAAGAAGATTATCAGCAAATATTTATGACTTGAGAAAAGGCTAAAAAACATCAACTTTCCTTTATACATCATATCTCCCAAATTAGTTTTTTTTTTAAGTCAGTAAAATCCGACTTGATTCCAGAACCATACTCCAGTAGTACCTCTCATGTTTCATCCTTTCCCTTGTTCAAAATTGACATAACACTCACATAATCCAGTCAAGTTTTGGGCCTTGTTGGGCTAAGCAATGTACAAGCAGACACGCTTGGTTTGACATGATCTTTGCCTCAGAGCTTTGAGCCAAATTCTGCTGTTCAGAGTAAAATTTAAGTAACTCCATTGACTCAGACTTGGTCTAAACGTATCAGTACAGCTACGTCCATCAGGGGTGTTGAAAAAAACCTACACCCCTGACCAACATAGCCATGCCAATTCCCAGTATAGATACAGCTATGTCAACGGAAGAGTGTTTTTTGTTGACATAGCTAACATAATTCAGGAAGGTGGTGTATCTACATTGACAGAAAACCCCAATGTCATCTGAGTTTATACTATGGGACTATGCTGATATAGCTATGACGGCATGGACTCTGGAGTGTAAACAGCTATACTGGTGTAATGGAGAACAGAATTAGGCTTTTGCTTTTTTAGATTGTAAGTTATTCAAGGTAGGAACCATCTTTGTGTTTTGTAAAGCATGTAGTATACTTTTGGGAGTTACATAAATGCAGCAGCTATGCCGAGGTATGAATTTTAGATGATTGAAAGCATTTTGGGAGAAGCACACCAGTAGCTTATTAACATTCACTCTAGCCAGGCTGATTGCTACGTTAGGAAAACCGGTTACTGAAACAGTTTGTACTCAATCCTGAAATAGTTTGTTCTGATAACCCTTTTTTTTTTTAAAGTTGAAGCATGTTTTCACCACTATTTTTTTTCTCTCCAGAGACTTATGTGCAGAGAAGCAAACAGTAGCTGCACTTCTGACCAAATATGCTCGCTCTTCCATACAGAATGGTGTCAAAGTTTATAACTCTAGAAGACCCATCTCATAACAAGAAACAACCTTATTTAAGAATCAAGAATACGTCAAGGAATAACAACTGGTGGTGTTCATACCAGAATTATTTGTAATTATGTAGCAATATCAACTAATTTGAAATGTCACTGTTGTGAAAGATCTGTCAGTTTTTAAAAAAAAAAGTACATTACTGTACACCAAAGACAGTGGAATTCTTTATTATTTTAGATCTTTGTGGAAATAACTGCTCTACCAAAATCTAAAAACACACATTGCTGGAATCTAGTTTCCACCATTTAACCAGAAAGACTTACAAATTTGTTTATATTGAACTGAAATTTGTAGTTTGTCTTAAAACTCCAGAAGCAAAATAAACTCTATCCTTACTTTACTTGCCCTCGTTTGTGCAAATATTTGCACACACTTTTTTCTTAAGTCTGCTGATACGGTAGTGAAGTCCAATAGCAAATTACAGAGAAAACTATTGCTTCTACACAGCAGTCGTTTCCCCCACCCCATTTATCTTGTAAAAGCAGTCTACGTCCAGTGACAGTACTGAATATAGTATTTCAAAAGCAAAGTGGAATGCTTGGTTTGTTTGCTATAACAACTGAACTGTCAGAGCGTATTAGTTACCAACAAGCAATATTAGTGTTTTGAGCTTTATGTGTAAAATGAGAAGTTTGGCCTTATAGGTGAATTACTCATTTCCACAGTGGGCTACAAGTCAGGCCTTTGGAAGGTGGTCCTTCTGGTTCGTGTCTTTGAATGTGGATAACATGAAACAGAATTATGAGGCACTTAATGTTCTGGGTTCTTGACAATTTAATAGTATTGGCAAAATTGCCTTAAGTTACATAATGCTAAGAGGATGCCTCAAATTACTCAGACGTGTTATGGACTCAGCAACTTTTTCTGTAACCGGCCCTTCACCACTGGAATATTGTCAACCTAAAATTAATATACCAGAAGGCTTACATTTTTAAAAGTGGTAAATTAAACTGTTTGTAGTAGTATACTGCACATCTAGAATATGAGAACCCTAAAAAAAAGTTTCTGCAACATTTCCACCCAAATGTAAATATTTTTGAAATGTAGAGCTGTGAAGCATACTCTTCGTAATGTTGCCAAATTAAATTTTGTAAAGGCTTTTTATAACTGGATTTCCATTTGTCATTTATTAGTAACCCTGTGCACCCCAGTTTGCTATTTGACAGCTTTGCAAATCTCACTGTTAAATGGAAATATTATTGTAATACTTTAGGTAGCTTGCTATTTAAAATTTGAATGCACATAAGGCATTACATATACATGTGGAAGACCACCTGCTGGTTAATGTGCCAATGAGTGGGGAAGGAGGACAAAAGAGGAACAAACATGCTATAAAATAACCTGGTTTAACTCTTAAAATAGGGTATACTTAGCCTTCGAATTCTAATGTAAGAGCTGAAACTCCAGTGCCACCACCTTGCTGTTGTCAGCTTGTTTTTTTTGTTTTTAAATTGAAGGACAGTCTTTCCATTTTGCTAGAATATCCCCAACATAATATGGATGCCAAAAGGCCTTAGTGAACAATAAATCACACTCTCCACAAACTGGGTCTTCAGGGCAGAATTTGGGGACTCTGTTTCAGGAACTATATACCCTAATTGTTAGGCTAGTGAAGCAGGAGTGTGGGCTTTTTTTGTTTTTTCTTTCCATCGGGGCTGAGCAGTGTGTGCCCCAGGAGTCCCAACTTTTGTTCCTTCCTCTCAGCAGCTCCATTCTCCCACACAAGACCTTCAACACAAAAATATAAAACAAGATTACTCAGCATGCTAAGGGTCAACACTTTTAATTGCTTAATACAAGATTCTCATCCTGTGGATTCTAAATAATGTTTTACTCTGTAAAGCACCATGTAAATTTACAGTGCTATTTACTTGGTAATGTGATCTACAGGAAAGCAGTAAGAAGTTACTAAGAGAACTGATCAATCAGATTTGTGTAAACACTCTTCAATGAATGTATAATATTCATTGTCAGCTGACTTTTTAATAAGACTATAATGTACTTGCTCATCAGTTTTAGCAGACTGCCAAACAGGAAACAAGCTGTGTTTTGGTGTCAAAACAATCCTGGATTTGGAAAGAGGAAGTTGAAGAGATGGTAGAATAAAGATTTCAGTAACACCTTAGGTCAGGGCTGGCCAATGTCCAGCTCTTCAGAAGTTAATATGCAGCTCCTTGTATAGACACCGACTCCAGGGCTGGAGCTACAGGTACCAACTTTCCAATGTGCCAGGGGGTGCTCCCTGCTCAACCCCTGGCTCTGCCCCTTCCCACCCCCGAGCCTGCTGTGCCCTCGCTCCTCCCTCCCAGAGCCTTCTGCACACCACAAAACAGCTGATCGGAAGGTGTGGGGAGGGGGGAGGGGGAAGGCACTGATCAGTGGGGCTGCTGACATTACTGTGGCTCTTTGGCAATTTACACTAGTAAATTCTGGCTCCTTCTCAGGCTCAGGTTGGCCACCCCTGCCTTAGACGCAACAGCTTTCATCCTAAACTCATGGAAACAGACAAAGAGCTTACTGGGAACATAACTAAAGTGTGAAGAAACTTTTAGTGTCACTTCTAGGGAAAAAAATAAGGGGGACATGCTTTTAATGAACTCCTTTTGTACTTTAGCACAGCAGCTTTGTCCAGTAGCATAATACTTAATATAATGGAGAGAATTTCACATGTTCACAAATAGACCACACACTACACTGCTCACTACTGCACCTCAAGGACTATATATACTATTACATGAGTAGATGAAGACTGGGGCCATGCAACAGGGGCTTGAATGAAATCCACAATACATGTATTTCTTTTTTTCAAATTTAGAGATAAGAGTGAGCTGTATATTACACATGTAGATGTTTGTACAGCTTCCTATAGCAACTTACCTAGTCTGTCTCAGCCCATCTCAGCCCTCATATACAACAGTCGTTATTCACGTGTGGGGTTTTATTTGAATCAAATATGTAAACTAGCTTTTGGTGATTAATCCACCATTCTCAAACGTTAATTATTGCTATGACTGCAGGAAAAATCCGCTTTCCATTGACTACTCATCAGTTTGTCTTATCTTTCCTTGAACACTTCCAGTGATTATTATATAGCCTCCCTCCTTGAGTTATCCTCTTAAGTACTTTTTAGACTAAGTTCCCCAAACCCACTCAGTTATGAGGGCAGCATATGATAGCAAAAATACATACGCAAAAGCCATTCCCTTCCTTGTCTATTGCATTTGTATCTCATTCTGCTGTGATCACTTGATCCACTCTTTTTTGCTATAGTATAGGCTTACTTTAAAAATTACTCAAATGTTATACGATAGAATTCTATTAGTAGGTTGGCTGTAAAAAAGTCAACTATGTTTCTAAAATTAATTGCTTCCATGTATTTTAAGGTGGAGCAAGTATAAAGAAAGACAGCTACCCAAGTGAGATTTGTACATTTTATGAATTGTAAGGAATTGTGAACATTTTAAAAGTTTATCACTTGTAAATAAAGGAGTTGTAACTGAACATTGCACAATATAATACTTCCATGAACTGCTGCTAAGATACTATAATACAATATATGCTATAGTTTATCCATGTAACACAGCCAGAGGCTAACAAGCAATCTTTGTGACATGACTGCACATGGATATACCTATAACCAGAGATTAAAATGGCATTAAATACAGTGGTAGGAATTTGTTTCTTACAAACAAGGTTTGGCAGTCATATGCTCAGATATGGATTTAGTTGCCAAACTAGGCATCCTAATTTGACAACTCTGACAACTCTGTCATGCTATCATGACAGGCAGTTTCATGAATTTAATTCTCTTAAGTAAAACTTGTCCCATTCATTGTAGTGGGATAGTTCCGTATAATGCGATCAGCACAGAAAAATGCACAAACCAGACGCTCCATTCTTTGTGCAGGCTAAACTCCCTATGGAAGATGAGTTTGTTTAGACCTTTTTGAGCATATCAAAATGATAGTTTCAAAGTTACAGACTGAAAGTGAATAAATACACAAGTTAGTCATCCTAGAAATAATAGGTTCCTCACACTAGTTGAATGTCAGGCTCTGAGTGCCTTTCTGAGTGGAGATGGGAGTTAGGTGAGGAGGAGGGTCTGTCACTAAGTTATGCATATAAAACACAGCATTGGGAGAGTCTGACATTAAGAGGATGGGAGAAGCAGCCATTGTCATTAGGCAGGATCAGAAGGGAATGAAATTGTTTTACAGCCTTGACTTAAATGTCCATGATGAAGAGGAAAAAGCTGCAGAACCACAAGGAATTAACAATACCTTTTACTAACTATTGATCATGAGATTTTACACAAACTATACAGCCGAAGCCAGCTCTGGGAATTAAGGTTAGTGTTTGTCCAAAAATGTATTAGGAGCCAAGTTTCACTACAGGATTAGTTCCCATCAGGCTCCCTGTGGAGAGTTGGCCACTACTGTAAATTTATCACATCTTACCATTAGAGCTGGTCAAAACAAATGGAGCCTACCCCCTTCCCCAGTGGAAAACTGCAACAAACAAAATTGTTTCCATCTAAATCTTCAGTGGAATATTGATAATTTAGCAGAAATACAAGAACAAATATTTCAGCTAAAAATCTAAAACATTTCAGTTTGGTGCCTCATTCTCCCATTTGCTATAGGCCAGACGCCTGGTCAGATTACATCTTTCATGATACAACAGCAGCCTCCTCTCTTGGAGGGGGAGGGCTGCACACCATGGAAGATGCAGGTCAGCCAACCAGCCCAGAGAAAAGAGGACGTGAAAGGTCAGAACTACAACTCCCACGAGGCAGTGCGGCAGTAAGTCCAAATATTTCGTTTTTCAGGTGTTCATTTTTAAGTCTTCCCCGCAACGCCAAGCCAACACTTTTTGCAAAAACCAAAACCAAAAAACCAACCACGAAAAAAAAACCCACACATTTAGTAAAAAGAGTCACAAAATAGTTCTTCCCCACTGCAAACGTTTTTTGCTGAATAAGTCACCCACCTTACTTGGACGGGGGAAATGAGGCATCGCCTAACACAGATTTCCACCCTCTCCAGTGGGGCACAGCCAAGCTGCCCAGTGCTCGGTGGATAAGGAACTGGGCAGGAAATGGTGTGAGACGCGCGTGGGAGGAAAGGGGGAGAGGGGTCCCACAGCCTGTCCCTACACAGCACATCCCTGTTTCCCTGCCTCCATCCCTTACCAAGCCACCACCAGGCGCGCGGGGCACAAACACTGCGCACGCGCCTCCCCGATTCTGCTCCCACC